TTAAAGCAGAAAGCATTAAAGGTATAAAAATAGGTGTCACTGGTTAAGGATTTTTAAAAAGAAACCAATTCGTAAGAGAGAGAAAAATTACAAATAAATATTAGGAAATTCATAACCAAACTAGGGGGTTTTTTTTGTTTTTTTGTTTTTTTTGTTTTTTGTTTTTTTTTTGAGATGGGGTCTTGCTCTGTTACCCAGGCTGAAGTGCAGTGGAGCGATCTCAGATCACTGCAACCTCTGCCTCCTGGGTTTAAGCAATTGTCCAATCTCAGACTCCTGAGTAGCTGGGGTTACAGGCACACTCTGCCACATCCGGCTAATTTTTGTATTTTTAGTAGAGATGAAATTTCACCATGTTGGCCAGGCTGATCTCGAACTCCTGACTTCAGGTGATCTGCCCACCTTGGCCTCCCAAAGTGTTGGGATTATAGGAATGAGCCACTACGCCTGGCCCAAACTGGGATATTTTTAACACAGTTCTGTCATTATCTAATGCAGTGGTCCCCAACCTTTTTGGCACTAGGGACCGGTTTCATGGAAGACAATTTTTCCATGGACTGGCATGGATGTGGGGTGTGTGGGGGGAGGTTGGACGATTCAAGTGCACTAAATTTACTGTGCACATTATTATTATATTCATTATATTGTAATGAATTAATTATAAATTATATAATTCACCACAATGTAGAAAAAATAGGAGCCCTGAGCCTTCTTTTTTTTTTTTTTTTAAATAAAATCTCACACTATAACCCAGGCTGGAGTGCAATGGCACTGTCTCGGCTCATGGCAACCTCTGCCTCCCAGGTACAAGCGATTCTCCTGCCTCAGCCTCCTGAGTAGCTAAGATTGCAGGCGCGTTCTACTATGCCCGGCTAATTTTTTGTTATTTGTTTTTTAGAAGAGATGGGGTTTCCCTGTGTTGACCAGGCTGGTCTCGAACTCCTCACCTCGTGATCTGCCCACCTTGACCTCCCAAAGTGCTGGGATTATAGGCGTGAACCACCGCACTCGGCGCCCTGAGTTTTTTTTCCTGCAACTAGAGGGTGTCATCTTGGGGTGAAGGGAGACAGTGAGAGATCATCAGGCATTAGATTCTCTCAAGGAGTGCACAACCTAGATCCCTCGCTTGCACAGTTCACAGGAGGGTTCGCGCTCCCATGGGAATCGAACGCTGCCACTGATCTGAGGGAGGCGGAGCTCAGGCCTAATGGAGCAATGGGGAGTGGCTGTAAATACAGATAAAGCTCCCCTGGCTTGCTCACCTCCTGCTGTGCAGCCCAGTTCCCAAGAGACCTAGGAGTTACCCAGAGGATGGCATTTTAGAGTCCAGGCGAGACTTCGGGAAAGAATAGGGTGGCTTTTAGGACAATGAGCTGACCATACTGTGTGAATAAGTAACAACCATTTATCCGGGTTGCTGCTCGAGCCATGTAGCCAGGTCAACCCAGAAAAGCTAAAACACAAGCCCCTGACTGAGGTCTGATGGTGTTTACAGAGGCATCCAGACCTGGGTGCACTTACACACTGGCACGGAAGCCACAGGCTCACAGTTCTTGGATAAGAACCCGGAAAACATGCATTAAGCAGGGTGAGCCCCAAATTATCTGGACAGCTGCTGCTGTGGGGAACTTGCCTATAGGGCTCAAGTATTTGCTAACCTGCAAGTCTCCACACCTCTACACGCTCACATGTAAAGACACCTATGCACGCGGGTTCCTGGTGACGTCACTCACCTGTCTGCTTGTTAAGAAACTGCACAGCTTCCAAACCATCAGGGTAGGTCGTGTGTGTCATCTGAGCATTTGCATAATAGTAAATCTGTAAGTACCAGAAACACCTATGTTGGGAGGCAGTTTGTGTTAACATTTTGAACCTGGATTTAATCTAGTAAAGTCCTTCCTGCAGGTGGGTCAAAGTACCATCCCAGCAGGTGGGAGTGGGCTGACCTCGTCCATGGACACACTCCACAGCAAGGAGGCATGGGGAGAGGGCTTGTCACCCAAGCCCAGAAGTCAAGACGTTGTGGCACTAGGCTAGTGGGAGAGAGGACTGGACCGAGGTGGAGTTCCCAGTCCTTCACCTGGGAGAAACGCACGTTGCACTGGCATTTTGCAGCCTTTGCCTCTAAGTCGGTGGGCACAGCTGAGCCCCGGACAGTCAGCAGCAGGACTTGGGACCACGTTTTGTGTTGTATTAAAGTTTTTATCTCCCACTCGTACGCTTGCTCTGCGGTCAGGGTGGCCACAGTGACAACTGCCACATTCAACACCTGATACAAATAACGCACAGAGACACCACCTGCCACGACTGCGGCGCTCTTTCTAAATGCAGATCATTAACCCTGAGGCTTCCAGGTAAACCCATTAGCTGGATCCCCAAACAAAATAAAATCCCAAGAAAAATGTTCCCACTCATCCCCCAACTGAAGATGTTGCAAAGGGCAGAACAGAATGTGGGTTTTTCTCGGGAGAACAGAAAACAAGTGGGACCTGTGTTCCTAGACTTCCCCGCCAGGTGCCTACTTTTACATCACACGGAAGTTCACAGCCCAAATTTCCTGCTGCAGAGAAAATAATTGCATTTTATTGACATGTTTTATAAAATATAGCATGTTACAAGTGGTCCACTAGCTAGGGCTTAGAAGTATGTGTGCTATTCTTGCCTTCCAGTCTATTAATGTCAATTGAGAACTGTAAATCAAAATGATAAGAAATGAAACTTTGACTTGGGAAACTCTTAAGCCGTGAAAAATACTAATCTTGTTTGACTATGTGCTAAATGCAACCAACTTAAATCTGTAAAAAAAAAAAGTCTCTGTTTGAAAGACTGTACTTCAGGAACTAAAGAGACATTTGGAATCGTCTTAATTTTCTGCTCTTGTGAAGAAGATGCAACCATCTCTTGACACTCACTCCGCATGTCACTTCCCCAAGATGAAAAGGTCACCTTCTCAGGTCTCCCTCAGGGGAACCAGGTGGGCCACCCTTGCAGAAGCCACTCAGTCCACCTAACTGCAGCTCTGCAATGTTTGGGGAAAAACCAGTGAACTCATCAGGTTGAACGTGGCTGAGAAATCCACCTTCAGAACTCTCTAAGACTGATGAGCTTCCATCTAAAAAGCAAATAAGTTAAATTTAAAAGGATATGGCATATACATTGTGGAAGTATCATTATCCTAATGCGATTGCTACATTCAGTTTAAGTGAACGTATGAACACGTTCTCTCTTGTTCATGAGATTACTATACACATGTCAGGTCAGTTCAACAACAAATGATCCTGTCAGGAGCATTAATTCTTTACTGAATATGCTCCGTGGTATTTCTTGGGCATCACTCTCTTCCGAGTATTCTGACGGATCCGGAGATTCACGGATGGAAAGGCACTCTCTGGGCCCTGAAGCTGCCCACAGTCCCGCGGCAGGCAGACACGGGAGAGAAAAGCCGGATCCTTGTGACACTGGCTTACGGGACCTATGAAGGGTGAAGGAGCACCACAGGCTTCCAGGAGAGCTGGGGGTCAGGGCAACTTCCCCAGGATGGCGTCACTGTCAGCTGAGATGATGCCTGGAGGTTGCGCAGATGCTAGCAAGTGGGTGGGAGACAAGGTCCCCCATTCTGCCCAGCACCAGCAAATAAACTGAGATCTTGTCCAGGGGCCTGAAGGGGAGGAGGCGGCAGGAACAAAGCAGCCAGGCTAGTGCAGACCTCATGGGAAGGGCTTCCCCACCCCACAGAGAAGTGCCGAGGGGACTGTGAGGGCACGCAGAGCCTGCGGTGGTCTGAAGCAGACAGATGGTACCAGCCTCACCTCTACGAAGCTCCCTGCAGAGGCCACGAAGCAGCCTGGGGGCAGGAGGCCGGGGGAGCGGACTCAGGAGGAAGACAGTGTCGGGTTGTGGCTGTGCTGTGCATAACGGCCACACCTGAAGCTCGGCCACACCTCAGGCTCGGCCACCACATAGGCTCCATTTCTTTACCGAGATAGGTTCCTGCAGGGGTGGCGAAGCTGCTATGGTCATTTTCTGGCAGCGAGGTGAAGAGGGAATTCTTTCCTGACTCCCCCAGGGGCACTCTTGGCTCCTCCCGGCGGGACCCCCAATGCAGGAAGCACCCACAGCTGCATGGACAGAACTGGGGCTTGGGAAAGGGGCCAGGCAGGTGCCACACGAGAGGGCACTCCATCAGGGTGGCAGCAACACCGTGGGCCGGCAAATGGAGAAAGGGGAACAAAGCACCCAGGTCCACCCAGCCCCAGCCAGACGCCTTCTGCTGGGAGTGTGCTCAGAGGGAAGTGACCGCTAGGATTCGGAATCCCCAGTCACGGCCCCTGGAGACCGACATGTGGGCTGTGTGTGGGGTGAAGGGCTGGGGGTGTCGGCAAGTCTCACAGGTAAGAAACCAATGAGAGAATCAGACAAAACGTGGCCACAAATTAGGCAGCTCCATGAAGGACATGTCCTTGCCATAGTAAGATGTTCTGCTCACGAGCATCCACAAGAAAGCCCTGCATTTTACCGGGAGCATGGAAACAGGAGTCCCCGACCCTGCTCACCAGCTCCTCTGGCTGCTGCCATCTGCTCCTGCAGCATGGCGGCCTGGGAAGCCTGCACTGGTGATTTGCTGCCCCTCGAGTTTTGCAGACTTCGGGAAGATGGATGCATAGCCTGGAGCAATGATAGTCACAGGTCTGCCTTGTCACAAGGTCCCTGGAGCGGGCAATACCTTGAGCCCAAAGGCTGGGAGCACAAAGCCATCTTCAGCCACCCTCGATTTCCAGCAAGACGCCAGGGCTCACCCAACAGCCCTGCACCCTGCACTACAAGGTAGGTCAATTCTTTTAAAGACTCTGCAGAAATATACCAACTACAGTGCTCAGGAAAGCAACTGATTTTTAAAACCCAATTCAAGTTGTTTGCTTTTATAGCATTAAAGGCATTTCTGAAGAAATTCAAGGTTTTATCTATAGAAACATAATTAGTTTAATAAATTACTCGGTCTATTTTGAATAACAAATTGAGTACTTTTATTAGACCTAAGTGGAACTTTCTCTGAATCTGAATTTTCCATTCAGCCAGTGTAGAGTGACACAGGTGTCCGAGGCCACCTTTCCATCTTCAGACACCCTCCGTCTCTCTGCATAGGGAGTCGGCCTTCCAGTGGGTGTTGCTTTTCTGCCTTGACATCTCCCGGAAAGACTTTTATCTCTATTTTCCTGTGGTGTTGTTTTCCACAAGTTAATTCTTCTTATCTTTAAACTCAATGGCTGAAAATAAATGTGGGAAATGTTTGCATTAGTAGCCATTATATTTTTTTTAAATGTTAAGCAACACATCACACCAGGTATCACAGAATCTAGATGATTCTGCCTCTGCTTCCTACAGAAGGACACACGTGGCATCCACTACTTGGTGTCTCTGATTCCCCATTTTACAGCCCACGCTCCTGTGGAATTCAGGATTCCAATATATGGCTGATATTGTAGAATAAAGTCAGCAGTGAAATAAAGTGCTTGAAGCTCAATTAAAAAATGCATAATAAAAATAATTGTCTACCTTTTGCACTATTTAAAAAGTGATGGTTTCAAGGCATGGATAAGCCACCCATTCAGTTATCTATTTGCTCGTACATTGCCCAGCATGCCTGTGATTAACTCAGGTCCATGAGGGAGCATGAGAGAAGTCCGCATGTCACAGGAGGCTGGGCCTGTGCAGTCCATCCTGGGACTTACAATGTTTTGTACTCATAGATCTGAAAAAGCTATTTTCCTACTTGTGACAAACGCTTGGAGTAGATTTCTGATCTTCCTTCAGGGAATAAAGTGTTATCTGACCAGCAGTTGCTTTGGGAAAGAATGCAAAGGGATAAATCATCTTCAGGAGTTGGGGGTATCAGTTGCTGGCTGAGGACTCACGATATTTGCCTCCTGAGTATGAGGGTGACACAAAGCTAGGACAGGAAGAGACACACTGGCTGGCAGAATGTTCTAAAGAGGATCTAATTTTAACAAAGAAAAACTTGATGGAGACTGCTGAGACCAGCTCGGTCAGGGAGACCCTAACCCAGTAGCGCTAGAGGAATTAAAGACACACGCACAAAAGTATAGCGTGTGGAGTGGGAAATCAGGGGACTCGCAGCCTTCAGAGCTGAGAGCCCCAACAGAGATTTACCCACATATTTATTGACAGTAAGCCAGTGATAATTTGATTGTTTCTATAGATCATAGATTAACTAAACGTATTCTTCCTTATGGGAAACAAAGGGATGGGCCAAAACAAAGGGATGGGGTCTGGCTAGATATCTGCAGCAGGAGCAAGTCCTTAAGGCACAGATCACTCATGCTATTGTTTGTAGTTTAAGAACGTGTTTAAGCGGTTTTCCACCCTGGGTGGGCCAGGTGTTCCTTGCCCTCATTCTGGTAAACCCACAACCTTCAGTGTGGGCATCATGGCCATCACGAACATGTCACAGTGCTGCAGAGATTTTGTTTGTGGCCAGTTTTGGGGCCAGTTTATGGCCATATTTGGGGGCCTATTCCCAACAAGAGACAAAATAGCGTCCTGTACTGTGGCCCCCAAGCTAATAGTGCCACCCCTGTTCAGAGGAGTCCACGCTGACAAGCAGCAGGTGCAAGACGGCAGTGCAGAAGCAGGGACACGGGAGGCTGTGAGCCCCGAGACACAATAGCCACGGCGCGTGGAGAGAGTGCCTTGCACATCACCTCCTCAGGCTGCACCCACGGAAACAAAGCCCCCGAGTCCATGTGGCCCAGCCAGACGCTTGCTGCTGTGAGTGCGCTCAGAGGGAAGCCGCAGGAGGACTTGGAATCTGCTCTGCAGCAAGAAGTGCTAAGGGTTAGGATCTTGTTTGAAAGGCATGCACCCGTGTCCTTGGAAGAACACAGGACTCCAGGGAGCACCCTGCTCACCCAGGGAGGAGAAACTGTGTGGTGAGGAGCTGACAGGGTGTGCGTGTTTGGGTACAGAACTTCTGCTGCTCTTTACAGATGATAAGCACAAAGGTTCACCTTTGGAGGAGCTGAATTGTTAGATGACGATCTTTGTCCCAGGAGAGTGGCACTCTGATTCTTGCGGCCAGCGTATTTGGGCATTGTCTCTTCATCAGCCGACGGAGGTGAAATTTTTCCAAAAGCGGGTTCCAATGCCTAAAAGACAAAATGCAGGGAAAATTTTTCACGTTTTCGAAGGTAAAATAAATTCAAATTTTAATACAATCAAGAATAATTGGAATGTCCTAGAAAAAATTACAGTACCAGGTAAGGGGACTTGGACTGGGTTTTCCCCCTAACATGTTGATAAGCACAGAAACCCTCACCAAAGGTTTGTGAAGGAAACTGGAGCCGATGTTTGCTTTGTGCTTCTTATTGTGGTTCCTTGTTTCAAAATGATCACAGGATCCCAAAGGCTACAGAATAAACAATACCCAACATACCTTCCTTTAGGCTCCTGGTGTCTTCAACCAGGAATGTGTTAACGGAGGAAGAAAATGTGATACTACTTCTAGTGTTGTCTCTACAACTTGTCTAAGATTCAAAATGCAACTTCCCAACTTTCCGAGTTATCAGCAGACTGACCTGGAACAGCGTGATCCTTCAGGTGGGATGAGGTATGTGAGGTCTGGAATGTTAAATTATTCACCACTCTCCCCTCTGAGGAGGAGGAGGGAGTGAGAAGGGGAGAGGGTTGCTATGAACGAACCCTTAATATCAGATCCAGAGTGGCTCACCCACACAGCCGTGCCCACGTTCCGTGGGTGCTCACGCCTCAGCCTTTTAGATTATTCAGTCCCTAAAACTGCAACTACACACAGATACACCTACGCATATTTAAAGTGTGGGATTCACATATCCCATCCTCTTTCTTCAAATCAGGTGTGCTCTTGTGAGCGTAGGTCCTGTTCTTATGAAGAGCTCCATGGTGACCAGTACAATGCACAGAATGGAAAAATATTTGGAAATTCACCAAGCTCTGATCTTGAAATAAGAGAATGATCAAAAACTGTAGGGCATGTGAAGACTGAGTAAGACTTCATTGACTCTTGGGGTAATTGTCATGGTTACATTTCTCCCAATGTACAATGACCCAAATGGGGCAGTAGATACTATTTTTTAGGAACTGGCATACAATATATGCAGGGAAAAATCCCTGTGGGTCTTCTTGGGTTCTCCCCACAGAAGGTGGACAATCCTGGCCAGTATTTGTGGCAATGTCCCCCTCTCTTCCTCTGATGGAGGAACAGCCTGCCAGCTTCTGCTCTTCCTTCCACAGAAGGACTGGGCGCTTTGCTGTGCTGAGAAGCTAAACCCACTTTCTTTCTGAGGCAACAGAAGCCATCTCCATGGAAACAAAGCTCTCGCAGAGCTCCCAAAGACGGAGAATAACTTCCAAGATTTCCCATAATTTATTGTAGAGGAACTTGTGGCTGTTCTCGCTGTGCTTGGAGAACAGAACACAGAGCAGGCTCCTCTGGAATATATTCAGTGGGCGCGTGTGTGTGCGTGTGTGTGCGTGTGTGTGTGTGTGTTGTAATCACTGTGCTGTATCGGAAATATTCTAAGTCCTGGAAGTACCGATTTAAAAGTTCACACAATAAGTGCAGCTAGGAAATGTTAGTACTTTTCTTAACCTACTGAGAAATATCCCCACTTACTTTTGGAGGGTGTTCGCGTGGTTCCATGTGTCGTTACCTGTACGTATAATTTTAATGATTCAAGTTGCTTAGACCCATGTGCGGGAAACAGGACCCAGACAAGGCAGTAGTAACACTGGCCACATTCACACTCTCTCAGGCTGGTTCTTTGAGCCATGTGATCAAACGTGAAAGCTCAGTGTTCTGTAAAGGCAGGCTGGTGCTGGGAGGCACCCACTACTTCAGCATGAGAATGCTGGTTCTCCGTTTGGGATAGAGCAGGGTAGTGATACAGGATGGGGGCAGGAAAGTCCTGGGTAGAGAAGGACGGGTCCCTGGCTAGGGCTCCACCCCCGGGCCTGTGCCCACGGACCCAGGCATTTCTGCTTTCGGGCCCAAATGTTGCATTTCCCAAGACCACCCTGGCCTGCCACCCTCCCATCCTATGCCTATAAAAACGCCGAGACCCTAGCGGGCAGAGACACAAGTGGCTGGTTGTCGAGAACACACCAGCGGAAGAGCACACCAGCAGACACAGCAGACACCAACAGGGCATTGACTGGTGGAATGACACAGAGTTTGCTCGGGGTGGTGGGAGGAGAGCCCAGCCGCTGAGCAGCCCAACTCCAAGGGGAAAACCGCCTTCCCACTCCATCTCCCTTCTGGCTCCCCCATCTGCTGAGAGCTATCACCACTCAGTAAAAAACCTTGCACCCATCCTCCAAGCCTACATGTGATCTGATTTTTCAGGTACACCAAGGCAAGAACCCAGGACACAGAGAGCCCTCTGTCCATGTGATAAGTCAGACGGTCTAATTGAGCTAATAAACACAAACTGCCTACAGACGGCTAAACCAAAGAGCTCCCGCCCTGTAACACACACCCACTGGCGCTTCCGCTGGAAACTTTCACCCCTAGACACTGCCGTGGGGTCAGAGCCCCACAGCCTGCCGGTCTGTATGTTCCCCTAGAGGTTTGAGCGGTGGAGAACCAAAGAAGCGAGCCACACCCCCATCGCACACCCTGTGAGGGGGACAGGGGAACTTTTCCCGTTTCAACAGGTCTCTATTGCATTCTACACAGCTGCCCTAGAGGATGAACCGAAGGACACCAGGCTACTGAGCTGGCTCTGCAGTCACCCTGGGTTCAAATCCCAGCTCCATGTTCTCCAGCCCGTGGCCACGATGGAGTTAGTTTTAGTATCCATTTCATAAGGTCGACATAGAGAGTAAGACCGTACAGCTCTGTATCTAGCCCATGTAAAGTCCACAGTAAGAGTTTGCTGCTGTTGTCCTGAGATGTCTTAGAATTCTAGACTTGAGACACACAGCCTGGGGGCGGCAGTTCTTCTGTCGGCTGGAGTGCCAGGGGAGAGGCCTGATGCATCCAGTTCTTATTAATCATTACTTACGGGAAATGAAGTTGATTGGAAGTGAGCAACCCCGCCCACCACCTGGAGCGTGAGCGATACCACGTCACTCAGCAATAAAGCCCACATCTTTACAGGGACGCTATTTTCACATAATGCAAATGGTACAAAAACATAAATGCACTTTTGGTACCAGAGCGCGTGATTCTTGCCCCGCATGTGGGGACGCTGCAGATTTCTGCCTGGCTTCCCACTGCCGCAGCTGCGGAGATCTCAGCTCTTCTTGGAGCTCTACCTTCTGCTTCCTCAAAGCATGTATACGACTCCGGAGTTTTGCATGAACATCAGCCCACAGAGACTTCTGTCTCCCGAGCTCTTGGTGGAGTCTGATGATCTGCTGCTGTAATGGCTGTTATTGGGAAGAGAACACCAGAAAAACCTCTCAGACGTCACAATGGGCACATTTATCTGCACAGTACTCAAGCCCTCTCTGATGTAAGACCAACACTATTCCTGGGACAAAAGACACCCGATGAGATAAACAGGACAACCACAGCCTCTTTCTGATGTAAGACCAACACTATTCCTGGGACAAAAGACACCCGATGAGATAAACAGGACAACCACAGCCTCTTTTCTTTTCTTTTTCCTTCCTTCCTTCCTTCCTTTTCCTTCCTTCCTTCCTTCCTTCCTTCCTTCCTTTCTTTCTTTCTTTCTTTCTTTTTCTTTCTTTCTTTCTTTCTTTCTCTCTCTCTCTCTCTCTCTCTCTCTCTCTCTCTCTCTCTCTCTCTTTCTTTCTGTCTTTCTTTTTTCTTCAGGGTCTCACTCAGTCTCTCAGGCTGGAGTGCAGTGGCATGATCTCAGCTCACTGAAGCTTCAACTTGATGAGCTCAAGTGATCCTCCTGCCTCAGCCTCTCCTCTAAATAGCTTGACTGCAGGCATGTGCCACCACACTTCACTAATTTTTGTATTTTTAGTAGAGATAGGGATTTCACCATGTTGCCCAGACTGGTCTCAAACTCCTGGGCTCAAGCGATCCACCTGCCTCGGCCTCCCAAAGTGCTGGGACTACAGGAATAAGCTACCATGCCTGGCCATAGCTTTATTCTTATTAAGTAGTGTTTATTATGAGTTAGTCCACATAATATAACCAGATAAAGATGGTTAGTGAATTATGATTTTTCTGTTAAAACACTACTACAGCAAAAAGAGGCTGGCATTCTTTTTTTTTTTTTTTTTTTTTTGAGACAGTGTCTTGCTCCATCACCCAGGCTGGAGTGCAGTGGTGCAATCTCAGCTCACTGCAACCTCCACTTCCCAGATTCAAGCAATTCTGGTGCCTCAGCATCCGGGGTTGGGATTACAGGCACATGCCACCACACCTGGCTAATTTTTCTTTTTTCAGTAGAGACAGGGTTTTGCTATGCTGGCCAGGCTGGTCTCAAACGCTGTACTGGCATGGATGTATGGTCAATAGTTTAAAAATTATGGAAGTCACTGCATTTTCAACCTGACGTGTTAGCCTTCCCCTGGGATCTTTCAGTGGATCGTAGAGCCTCCAGTCTTGCTCTGAGAATATAAGCAGGATCGTGATAAAGGTATAGCCCTGCACTGGGTGACACTGGCCCACCTGTGGGACTTTAATGACAGCAAGCACTGTCCATCAGGGTCCAGTGAGGAAGATGGTAAAAATCAGGAAACTTGCTGGGATGATGTGAGGCATGTCACCTTTCTGATTTTCTTTAATGAAGTTTTTAAAGTCTGGTGCCTTCTCCTGGATTACAGGAGAAAAGTTGGAATGTTAATATTTTCTTTAACTACCTGCCCTGCCTCCCATCCACCAAGAGATATGGTTGCAGAGGGGGAAAAAGCCACGTGCCCCTTGGAGAGGAAGTACGGAATCAGTGTCCCCGGGTGGTGCATTCCTACAGGGGCCCGGCGAGGGAAAGTCCAATGGTGGGCCTCAGGGACAGGAATCGGGGTCCCGCCTGGTGGGGCTAACTCTGTCCCCACAGAGCTCAACTCACTGGCGTCTCCCCGGCGTTGCAGTCCTCTGTGGGGACCTCAGCTGCCGCAGCTGTCTTCTCCATAACAGCCCCAGCTCCCGGGCATGGGTCCTCTGGGTGGGTGCCCTGGTGGGTGCCAGCCTTGAGCTGACCTGCCAGCATCCTGGTTGGGAAGGGAAGGGCTATGGGGACACTTGAATGCAGCCCCCCTAACCTGTCAGTGTGGGCTGAAGGCCCCAACCCCAACCTAAGTGTAAGCAGGACCTGGAGCCACTCTTCTCCCCCTGGGTCGTGTGCACATTCCCAAGCCTGAAGCTGACCAGGTGAAAGGACACCACAGACGGAGGGACTGAGCTGTCCACTCCTGGCTCTCCACCATCCTCTGTGGAAAATGCTTGAAATCCTAGAAGATCAGCCTGACACCTAATGCACTCTGGTCATCCAAAGAGGGGTGTGAGTGGGATGTGAGTGGGGTGTGAGTGGGATATGAGCAGAATGTGAATGGATGTGAGCGGATGTGAGGGGAATGGTCTCGGGGTGTGAGCGGGATGGTCTCGGGGTGTGAGCGGGATGGTCTCGGGGTGTGAGCGGGATGGTCTTGGGGGTGTGAGCGGATGGTCTCGGGGTGTGAGCGATGTCTTGGGGTGTGGAGCGGCATGGTCTCAGGTGTGTGGAGCGGGTGGAGCGGATGGTTCCCGGGTGTGAGGGATGGTCTTGGGGTGAGCGATGGTCTCGGGTGTGAGAGCGGTGGATGATGGTCTCGGGTGTGAGCGGGTGAACGGGATGGTCTTGGGGTGGGGAGCGTGGATGGTCTCGGGTGTGAGCAGGTGTGAGTGCGAAGTGGTCTCGGGTGAGCGGTGTGAACGGATGGTCTTGGGGTGTGAGCGGGATGGTGGTCTCCGGGTGTGAGCAGGTGTGAGTGTGCTTGGCGGTCTTGGGGTGTGAGCGGTGAACGGGATGGTCTTGGTGTGAGCCGGATGGTCTCCGGGTGAGCAGGTGTGAGCGATGGTCTTGGGGTGTGGGGAGCGGTGAACGGATGGTTCCTGTGTGGAGCGGATGGTCTCGGGTGTGAGCAGGTGAGCTGATGGTCTTGGGGTGTGAGCGGGTGTGAGCGGGATGGTCTCGGGGTGTGAGCTGGTGTAAGTGGATGGTCGCATGCGACACTGAGGGAATTCTCAGCCCTTTAATCAGCACCATAGGATCAGCACCCACCTGGAGGGGCACAGGCAGACCCTCCACTGTGCTGAGTATGAGTCTTGAACCGTCAGGGCGACATTTGTGAATTCATGGTGAAGACGTGGAAAGGAAATACCTTTTTATAGGTAGAGCATTTATACCAGTTCTAGGAAGCTCACAGCAATTGGAAAACAAAAACAAAAGAGAAAACGCAAAGCTTTGCTGCAAGCCTGCAGGGTCATCTCCGAAAGCTGCCTCCACCTCTACCTCGCCCTCTCAGTTTTAGGAAGCCCGTGGCCCCTAGCAAAACCCTGACTGTGTTTTCATAAACTTCTAACTGTATACAAACATAAGAAGGAACAGTTTAACCACAGTGATCGGAGAAATGTTGTTTAAAAGAGAGTCTCCTGATGGAAGCGAATCAAAGGCCTAGAACAAGACCTACCAGTAACCGGACCACTGCCGTTCCTTCCCGGCCGGGACTGGGAATGTGTCTGCGGAAGTGGGCTGGGGTCACGGTCCTCACAGCCCTGAGAAAGCTCCTTCTTCCCCACTCCTCTGAGGGGATACCGCAGTGTCCTCGGCCCCAAACTCATGACCCCCTCCGTCCAGGGAAGACCCCTTCCCTCAGCCCTACTACCAGACCTCGTCACCTCACCTGTTCCCTGACGGTCAGTTCTGCTGGGACCAGGTTATCTGGGCTGTGTCCCAACAGCTGTCCCCAAGCCCTCCCGCCTCATATCCGGAGACCAGAGAGCAGCAGACGGTTCCAACGGACTTTCTGTCTTAAAGGGGCATGAACGTCTCACTCAGTGTCACCATTGTACCAGCTCAGATAATAATTAAACATCCCCAAACCTGCAATTCTAATACAGAAACTCATCGTCAGTAGAGTCCATCCATCCACAAAGGACACTGGAGAGAGTCAAACTGCTCCTCCCAATTGACAAAAATCATGTGTTTAATATCAAGTCTTCAACACCCAACGTGTAGTAAGAGCTCATTTCTCTGAGCATACGTTTTTGAAGAAATATAAATTTTCTTTGGATATCAAATTATTTACTAGAAAAAAACATTTTTTATGAGGGGAAAATAATATATGTGAGTTTAAATAGGAGACAGGATTCAAAGTTTCATCAGTTCACTAAATGCATCTCCATCTGAATTGTTCGTGTGATTTTTGTGGTAGAGAAGAGAATGAGGAGCAAGCGAGAGTCAATGTTCCTGTTAAACCCTGGCCATCCTTCTCATCCATGGTGCTGCGTGTGGAAAACACACACCTGGGGCTCACCTGAGCCTGCTTGGGACGTGTGTCACTCGGATAGTTCTGCAAGCGACTCATGTGCAATAGGCGGTAAACGCCGACATCGTGAATGAATGAAGAAAATACTACAAAGAGGAACCAGAAGGCGCTTTTGTCCCTGTGCATCATTCTAACTGTGGGAGTGTGTGTGTGTCCTGAGGTGTGCGAGTGTGTGTGTCCTGAGGTGTGTGAGAGGTTGTGTGTGGGTTCCTGAGGTGTGTGAGAGAGTTGTGCGTAGGTCCTGAGGTGTATGAGGGATTATGTGTGTGTCCTGAGAAGTGTGATGAATTGTGTGGGTCCTGAGGTGTGTGAGGGTTTGTGTATGAGCCTGAGGTGTGTTGGGGTTGTGTGTGAGACGCTGAGGTGTGTGAGGGGTTGTGCGTGGGTTCCTGAGGTGTGTGAGGGCTTATGTGTATGAGCCTGAGGTGTGTGAGGCAGAGGTTGTGTGTGAGGCAGCTGAGGTGTGTCGGGGTTGTGTGTGAGGCAGCTGAGGTGTGTGAGGGGTTGTGTGTGAGACGCTGAGGTGTGTCGGGGTTGTGTGTGAGACGCTGAGGTGTGTGAGGGGTTGTGTGTGAGACGCTGAGGTGTGTCGGGGTTGTGTGTGAGACGCTGAGGTGTGTGAGGGGTTGTGTGTGGGTTCCTGAGGTGTGTGAGGGATTATGTGTATGAGCCTGGGGTGTGTGAGGGGTTGTGCTTGGGTCCTGAGGTGTGTGAGTGGGTGTGTGTTTGTCCTGAGGCGTGTAAGAGGTTGTGTGTGTCCTGAGGTAGGTGAGGATTTGCATAGGTTCTGAAAGGGTATGTGAGGTTGTGTGCGTCCCTGAGGTGTGTGAGATGTTGTGTGTATGTCCTGAAGGGTGTGAGAGGTTGTATTGGTTCCTGAGGTTTGAGAGTCTGTGTAGGTTCCTGAGGCATGTGGCGGTTTATGTGAGTCCCTGAGGCATGTGACGGTTTATGTGAGTCCCTGAGGTGTGTGAGAGGTTGTGTGAGTCCCTGGGGTGTGTGAAAGTTTGTGTAGGTTTCTGAGGTGTGTGAGAGGTTGTGTAGGTTCCTGAGGTGTGTGAGGGGTTGTGTGTGTCCTGAGGTGTGTGAGAAGGTGTGTGAGTCCCTGAGGTGTGTGAGGGGTTGTGTGTGTCCTGAGGTGTGTGAGGGGTTGTGTAGGTTCCTGAGGTGAGGGCTTGTGTGAGTCCCTGAGGCGTGTGAGAGGCTGTGTGAGTCCCTGAGGTGTGTGAGGGGTTGTATGTGTCCTGATATGTGTGAGGGGTTGTGTAGGTTCCCGAGGTGTGTGAAAGATTGTATGAGTCCATGAGGTATGTTACGGGTTGTGTGAATCCCTGAGATGTGTGAGAGGTTGTGTGTGTCCTGAAGTGTGTGAGGGGTTGTGTAGGTTTCTGAGGTGTGTGAGGGGTTGTGTAGGTTTCTGAGGTGCGTGAGGGGTTGTGAGTGTCCTGAGGTGTGTGAGACGTGTGTCCTGAGGTGTGTGAGGGTTGTGTGTGTCCTGAGGTATGTGTTGTGTGTGTGTTGAGGTGTGTGAGGTGTTGTGTGTGTGTTCTGAGGTGCGTGAGTGTTGTGTGTGTGTTCTGAGGTGTGTGAGGGTTGTGTGTATTCTGAGGTGTGTGAGGTGTTGTGTGTGTCCTGAGTTCTGTGAGGGTTGTGTTCGTTTCTGTGCTCCTCTCAGGTGCCACATGGGTTTTGTTTGCAGGTTGAGACCTGGACGGCCATCCCTCCCCTCTCCGTGGGGCAGGCAGGTTCCATCCCCATCTTCATGGTGTCTCCATCCCCTAGAGACTCTGCCATCGCTGGGACACCCGGGGGTCTCTCTGCCCAGTCCTCAGAGCACCCTGAGAAGTTTGACCCAGCTGGAAGTTGTGATGTCCTCGAGTTTCTGGAAGCCTTTCTCAGTCATCTCTACAAGTTGGGGAATGAGGGCTCATGTCCAGTGTCTCATGTCCATTTCCACAGAGTTGTATTTTTTATCCCGAGGATGTGTGAGCTCAGATCTATCCATCTTGCCATCGAAGTAGGTCCACCTGTTTTCATCACCAGCCATCATCGATGTGTTTCAGGCTTTGCAGCTCCCCTCCTGAGCCTCAGCCAGAGTGGCTCCCAGGGCAGGGTCCCCCCATCCCTCTCTCTGCTGCGGTTGTGTGTGTGTTGCTCTTCCCGGCCTGCCCAGGACATTTTCTTCACTGAGTCTTCCCCAGATTCTCGCCCTGCAGCAAACACGTGCAGCCACAGGTCAGGTCGGAGCCTCCTGGGCGTTGGGACTATGCGGCTCTTCTCTTCTCTCTGATAAGGCCCCCGTTTTCTGTTCAGCCTCGTGGTGCCTTAGCCGCATTTCAGGTATGGTCTTCCAGGGCTCTCTGGTCTGAACATTCTGTAGAGGAAACCACGGCACATCTTTCACTCATCTTTTAAAATCAGGGAGGCGGAGGCAGCAGTGGGCGGAGATCGACACACTACACTCCAGAGCGAGACTGTCTCGAAAAAATAAAATAAATTTTATAAATAAATAAATAAAATGGTGGAATGTATAAACACAATTTTGTGCTTTGCATTTTTTTCTCCCCAGTTAGTATACATACGATGGCCTTGTTCCTCTTAAGGGCCGCAGAGTGCTCTACTGTATGGATGTATCATATTCACACAGGCCCCTCTGATGGCCGTGTGGGATGTTTCCAGTCTCTTGCTATGATGATGTTGCTATAGGTATAATAGGGCTGAATGGTGACCACCTAAAGATACGTGGTCCTAGTCCCACGTATAGGAACCCATAAATACTCCTTACTATGGAAAAAAGATCTGTGCAAATGTGATTTAATTGAGAATCTAGGCCAGGTGCAGTGGCTCATGCCTGTAATCCAAGCACTTTGGGACGCCGAGGCAGGCAGATCACCTGAGATCAGGAGT